TGACTGCCTGTGCTGAGCGGCCAGTGAGAAGGTCCTTGGTGTTTTGTAGATTATGATGCCTTGCTGACAGAAGCAGGAGATTACACAGAAAAATATTTCAAGCTTCGAGAACTCTTTCGATCCACCTTAGGTACTGAATGGCCGTTTCAATTGGAAGGGGTGGTCCTCATGAGACGCCTACATTCTGTGGGAGGGTGTGGGAAGGAAAAGGATTCGTGAGGAAGAGCAGTTTAATGAAGTATTTCAGAGCAAGGGCACTCTTACCTTCAACTCGTGACTATTTGTAAACCTCATACTATAAGGTATGCTGTAGTAAGCCTATGGTATAGAGAGAAGAAAAATAGTCCTGCTTAAATTTATTTATTTTAAAAATGAACAATCTCCTATGTACTTGTGTGACCAAAAGGTGTAAGGGAGAATTCTTTCTCTTTTACAGCCCTCTGGCTGTGAGTAAGGCCAACATAACCTCTTTGACATTTCAATATCCATTAGCAAAACTCCATCTTAATCATTATTATTGCCCTAGGGGAAGTATGCTCATGTTCGGGACAAAGCCCCATGTTTCTTGTTGGCTTCAGGACACAAAAATTGATGATAGAGATGGGAAAGCTGAAAGGGAGCAGTGGTTTCTTGAGCATCTCTGGCCCATTTTCATTGCAGCAATTCCCCTGCCTCCCTTACCTGACCTTGTTCCCAAGGCTGTGTATCCTGCTGTGAGACCTTCATCGTATTTGCCCCTGTGGGAAGCCCTGAGGTACTTGGATGAGGTGAGTACTACCTAGGCCCTGGAGTGGCGGCTGGAGAATGTCTTGGTCACGGAATAGAACTTCCCTCAAGCAGTTTTAACTGGGGAGTATGAAAATGAATCCTGACATTTTATGCAAATATAGACCTGTGGGGCGAAAGTCATAGACTCTGTCAGGGGGACTATGAAGGGGTTTGAACTTGAAGTAGCTGTAGGGGTGTCAGACCATTAAAGAATCCAGTTTCCCAGCTCAGATGACCTGCGCTCCTCCTTCGAATGAGTGCTGGTGTGTGGCACTGCACATACATAAGGAAAAATACTGAACTGAAAATTTAGGATTAGACAACTAGAAACTTTGCTGCACCATCAACTAGACTACATTACTGAACTTCTGTGAGCCTCCGCTTTCCCTTTAAAATTAGACTACCTGTATGTGTTTTTAAGAAAAGGCGAAATATGTTTGAAAACTATACTTTCAGATTCACACTGGTCTTACCTCGACGCACACTTCCAGGAACCCTGGCGGTACCGTGTTTTACACATTGGCTGCTATCCTGTTGGTCTGGGTTCAAAACCACCAGCTGACCACTCTGGGAGAAAGGGGAAGCTTTTTGTTCCTGTAAAGGTTTATGTCAGAAACCCATAGGGGCAGGTCTACTCTGGCCTATAGGCTCACAATGAGTCGGAATTGACTTGACAGCTGTGAATTTGTCTTTTTGTCTTTGGGGGGTTTTTTGGTTAGAACTTCATGGAGTCCTGGTGGCAAGATCAATACTTTGAAGCTGCCATGCAGCTGTTAGACCAATGCTGTCAGAGCAAATTGAGGCTATCCGCTCTCTTAAAGATTTGTAGCCTCAGGAATCCCATATAGGGGCCCTGTGAATTGTAACTGATCTGATGGTCATTGTGTTATTTTGTTTTGCTTACTTGATCGCCACTTTGGTGGTATCATGGGTTCAGCATAAGGTAGATGTTTCAAACCCACTAGCAGCTGCGCTGGGGAGAAATGAGGCATTCTGGTCTTGTGAATTTTTGCAGCTTCGGAACCTTTTGAACAGTTCGACTCTGCCCTATACAGCTGCTGTAAGTTGGCTTGACTCAAGGGCAATGTGTTGCACTTTGGTTTCACGAGTTCTCTCTAAAAAAAGGACGAATATTGTAAATGCTAAATAGATGTTTGGTTAGTAAGTAACTCTTTTTTTTTTTTTTTGCACATACATATACCTTTATTCATTAGGAAACATTATCACAGAACAGAGAAAGATTGAATGCTACACTTTAATTTTTCAGGAACTAATTAAAAAAAATTTTTTTTTCTCTTAACTAGACTTCGATGAGCACAATGCTTCTATTTTGTTAATAAGTTATTATTTATTTCTTCCTTCCCAATTTCTGTACCATCTCTTAGTTTTCAAGTTAGTTGAGATATAAAGCACAAGAGCATTATTACATTTGCATATTTTTACTATTTCTCATCCAAGGAACGCCTGGGATCACTAAGTGGCAAGGAGCAAGGAGCGTTTTAGAAAGTTGATATCTGATTTCTCATCACCTTGGGTCCTTGTTCTTGCCATGTTTCTGTCACAGCCAGTGAAATCTATTCTACCAATCAACATGGAGAATCTTCCCATAAACAATGGAAGTGGTCAATCCTATGGATTTGTGCTCTATGAGACTTCTATATGCTCTGGGGGTTACCTATCTGCTTCTGCTCAAGATATGGCCCAGGTAGGTTCGCAGGTTGTTCATGTGGGAAGCAAAACTTTTAGCCTATCTCTGCTGTTGGGGAGGTTAGTCAGCAGTCCATTATATTATTTAATAGTATTTATAAGTACCAACAGTGTATTGGACAAGGAGCCTTGGTGGCATAATAGTTAAATGTTTGGCTGTTGACTGAAAACTTGAGAGTTCAAACCCATCTGGCAATTCCTCCACCCAAAGATATGGCCACCTTCTCCACAGAGCCTCCATTGCCTTAGAGGTGATGCCAACTCACAGGGAGAACAGCCCCTGGGAGTTTCCAAGACAGTCATGCTTTAGAGAAGCATAAACACCTATCTTTCACCCTGGGAGCAGGCTGGAGATTCCAAACTGCTGACCTTGCAGATAACAGCCCAGTGCAAAACCACTATGCCACTAGGGCTCCCCATAAAGATTACAACCTAGGAAACCTATGGGGCAGTTCTCTTCTATCCCAAGGGATCATTATGGGTCAGAATCAATTTGATGGCACTCAACCAGAAGTCCGGGATATTGGGAATACAAAGCTAAATAAAAAAGACTTGCTTTCTGCTGTATCCCAACTTTTAATCTGTAATGGATTGCATTTTGTCCCCCCCCCAAAACTGTGTATTGGAATTATGACCCCTATACCTGTAGAATTAAGGTGATATAACAATCTCAATTCTAATGTCATATAGTGTAATTGATTCTCATAATTCAGTCTCATGTAATCATTCAATCTGTAGGTTTGTTCCTAAACCTAATCACTTTTGCATTATGGGAAGACACACAGTCAAAACCAGAAACACACAGGGTAGCGAGAAAGAGGAAAAAGTGGTAGCATATGAAGAGTGTCTAAAGCCAGGGAATCAAAGAATACACAGGATTATCGTCAAAGAGGAAATAAACCGGGCCAATGCCTTCTCTTGGACTACTAGTTTCCAGAATGGTGAGAAACTACATTTCTATTCCTTAAAGTCACCACCTTGTGGGGTTTCAATGTGCAGAAATTAAGACAAAGTCTAATGGATAATCCATATCAATATTGGCAATGTTAATCTGGCAAATTTCATGATGAGAAAAGAATAGGAAGCTGTGGCAACTTAGATGACTCATCATCCAGAATTAAGAGGTCATGATTGACTGTCGATCAGCCAGAGTTCATGAGGTAAAGAAAGAGAGGAAGAATATTCCCACAAAAATGAATACCATGGGTCAATATCTGGGCTAAGAACAAAGGAATGTGGGTTCTTGAGCCTGAACGAAATTAATGATGATAAGTGTTTAGAATACAAAAGGAAAAATTAATACATTTGAAGCCAAATAACTCCAGGCATCTCTACTCTCATAGACCTATACTACACATCAATGATGATGTTTGCCAATGGAAATGACACAAGCTATAAAATGTAGCCTCTGTGGCTCACTTTGGCATTAATACTTTATGTCTAAACAATGCAATAGCATAAGTGAAGTTGTGTCTGAGGTCTTAGATGTTAAGCCCAGATGTGCTTTCAACTCTCCATCCTCAGCAGTACATGGAAGCTCAGCAGAAGGAGGATGATATTGGGGTGAAGTTCAACCCACTGGTTTCTGTCCAGGTCAGGAACTGAGATGGTGTCGTAGTTAATGACTGGGTCCAGTGCCATAGAGAAAGGAATAACCTCTAGTGCCCCTTGTGATGTAGTGGGAGGGTGTCCACCACTGCACTTATTTTCATTATATTGCATTGATGCAACTTCCCATGAGCTTCTGGCCATCTGTGAGCACCAAATTTCACCACTTTTTTTTCTTAATAACAACCACCTTTTGCTTAAACTAGTCTGTTTTCTCCTTCCATTACATGGGTCCATCAGTCTTATACCAGCTCTTCTTTTGCAGGTATTTTTGAATGACAAAATTATAGGATTTCTGAATGATATAATTCAGAAAATGAATATTCCCCAATTCACGGTATGTATTGCTGAACTGCTGACTCTAAGGTTGGACGTTCAAACTCACCAGCAGCAGCTCCAAAGAAGAAAGAGGAAGTCATCTTCTCACACAAAAGTTTACAACCTTGGAAAACCTATAGAGGGTTTCAATGTCAGAACCAACTCAGTTGCAGGGGGTGGCTATCAAGGGTCTGAAGGATCCCTGAATCACTATGGATAAGTGCCCAGTTGCTATGGAAAATGCCAGTGGTTCTAACCCACTGGTAGATCCAAGAGAGAAAGGGCCTTGCAATCTTTGGAGGATTTAATCTTGAAGGTGGGAACCTAAGCAAACGCACAGTTTCACTTTGACCTACGGAGTTCGTAGGAGTTAGAAGTGATTCAACAGCACACAACACCAACGTCAGAGTTGTGGCTGTCAATTGATCAAATGCAAACACAGACTACTTGTATCTCTTCTGTATTACTTCTCATTTTGGTTCTCATCAGGAAATGTCCGGCTATAAAGATAACGGTATCTTTTAGGCCTGGATAGATCAAGAACTGCAGCCTCTAAGCTTTAGTGTGTGTGGAATTTCCTCCTTGGGGGTCCTTGTGCTCCTATAACTCTGAGTCACTCATTAGTCCCAGTTTGGGTTGCAGATAAAAGGCACAACTGAGTCTCTCTATCTTATTAAGTAGGACAGCAGAGGGGAATGGGGGAGGTTAAGTAGGGAACAGACCACTAAGAACTAAGGCCGACAGGGTTTTGGAGACTCCTATGGGAGAACAAAGGGGCTCTAGAGGAAAAGCTCCTAAGTCCCCATGAGCTGCCCTCTCTTAAACAGGGATGCCAACTTTTGAGGATCCTTGTGGAGAATCAAGGACGAGTCAATTATTCATGGAAAATGGAAGAGGAACGGAAAGGTAGGCTCTGGGCCGGGGAAGAAGTCCTAGCTTCTTCAATAGTTGTTTGGCCCCTGGGACTGAAACTCTGTTGAGGGTGGGCTAGGGACCCTCAGGTAATGGGGCACCTAAAGATGCAAAGTCTTTCCCTGCTCTTGTCCTGAAGGGAGGATTGCGGAGCAGTTATGTGGAGTGCTACTCTCTCAGTAAAGCCCCCTTTCTAAAAGTTCCTTCCCCAAAGCGTTTCTAGTTTTAGTTAACTGTTGAAAAGCGATCTTTCCTTTTACTTAAAGTGAATCTGTATCTTGGTGGTGAGGAAGCATTAAAGGTACTTTAAATTCGTAAGTGTTAAACCAACATTGAACATTTAGAACATTTCCCTCCTTGTATTTTTGGTTTCTTCTTAGGGTAAGGTGACCAGATTTAAAGCGGAACACCATTGATGTGTGTGTGTGGGTGTTCTTGATTAAAAATGTGGTCTATATGGACCAAATAGACTGTTCCCTAGCTTGTCATGCATTCTTTCCCCAAATCGGGACTTACGCCAAAAATCGGGACTGTCCCGCCCAAAGTGGGACGTCTGGTCACCTTATCTGAGGGCTTGGTGGTCCAGAATGCTTGACCTGCCCACTTGCCTCTCATAATGCCACTGAAGTTTCCCTTATGTGAACCTACTCTCCTTTGCCTCCTCCAGTGCTCTGGCCTAGGGGAGGAGGGGGGGAGGCCCTCTCTTAGACTTGCTGCTGCTTGTCTCCTCTTGGGAATGTTAGGGAAAGCTCTGCTACTAAACAGAAACGACTTTGGTAGGATGTATTCAGA